TCATTGTGCGTTGGCCTTTTTCTATTTTACGCGCTGCGTTCATCCGCTACATCTCAAACCTTTAAAATATTTAAACGGTCACGAAATTAAATGTTTTTCTACATATGAATATGCTTTCTCAAAATTACAATAAAGTAATTAATATCCTGAACGTCTTGTAATTCATTTTTCATACTTTTAGCTATAAATATAAAAATTGAAAAATCAGAAACAAATAGATCCCATCGTTTGCCCATCATCAGACTAGGCTTAAAAATTCTTAATTTAGTACCAGTTTCTTACAAAAAATTTTGAAAAAAATCGATCGATACATACATTCTTAAAAATTAAATTTTATTTTTAAAATTTAAAATTTTTTTGGTAAATTTAAAAAAAAATTTTTTTAATATTTTTATCAAAAACTACGTGTAAAAACAAAAATTTTCATATATCGAACGTCAAAATTGATCAATTTTTGTCCGAGTTATAAGCATTTCAGAAAAAAATTTACGTAAAAAACGTGATTTTTCAAAAACCTGTATCTCTTAAACCGCTTAATGAAAAAATTTGAAAAAAATCATGGTAGCTCATTTCAACGAGCACTAAAAGAAAAAAAATATTTGAAAAAAATCGGAGATGCAAAAGTCAAAAGGTGTCCGACTTGGCGTGGAATGCCCCATATGTATTTTAAATGGGATAAAACCTGAAACGAAACTAAATTAAAAATTTACTTTCAATTTAGTTTCGTGTCGACCCAAAACTAAAGTTTCAAAAAATCCTAAAACAAATAACAATGTATTTCTGAATTATAAATTAATCCTAAATGAAGTAAATTTAGGTTTCCCTAAATAAACAATTCATTAATGCATTACTTTGAAAATAGCCTATTTTACAGTTTTGACCCGTTTTTTGAAAAAAGATGACAATTTTTGGCATTTCCGTCGAACCAAACTATTTTTTTCTTATTCTGTGTCACTAAACAAATAATTCATTAATGCATTACTTTGAAATTTAGCTTGGTCTCCATAAAATTTTTTAGCTTTGAAGTCTAATATATTTCCAAATTTGGGTTCGTTTTTTGGAAAAAGATGAAATTTTTGTTTGGGTTGTGAAATAAAACTTGGTTTCATTTTTGTTGCAACTTAAAATTATGATACATAAAGTGTTTTACATGTAAGCCCATAGTAAATCTCAAAACTTTTTTGCCGAAAAGTATGCTGAAAATGTGTAAAGCATTGTTATGAATTAAGATATAATTTTAACATCTTAAATTAAGATTTTTCAACTAGTTAAAAAGTGTCTACCAAAAGATCTTAAATTAAGATACTTCTTTTTGCAGTGTTGAACGTTCGAATCTTAAAGTAAATGAAAATATTGTAAAATAGTAGTGTTGAACAGATTAAATTTATTGTACTTTAAATGAAATCATTTAAAACTTCTTGAGATTATTCTTTATTTTTATTCAAATGAAACATGTCAGAGAGACAGAAACATATCCTGTTTGAGAAATCCAATTACTCCCGATTTGAAAGAACTCGCATCGATTGATCAAAAATGTCTAATCTAGTGTAGTTTGTAGTACAGTTAGAATGAATATAATTAAATGTATCAGAAATTCTTGACATAGGCGTTGTTCTACTGGAAAAGAAAAAGGTCGTGACTCCCGAGAGTAATACCGAGGAACAAGATAGGAACCGCTGACAAGAAATAAGGATGACTAGAAATGAATACCTTAATGATCTTGAAAGGAAACAATACCGCGTCAATAGCCCTTCGGTTTTCTAAAGAAAGTTCATTGTATCTCCTACACGATTGACAATATAGTCGGAGCTCTGGGATAAGAGGTCACCATGTGGCATGTTTTCTAGAGTATTCTAGAGTCTCGGAATTTTTATTCTCTTTTATTCGACATTTGTCAAATATCTTTATAAGTATTAATTTATTTACTCGTATTATGCTTTTAATTTATTTAATATTCATTAAAATATATGTTTTTGTCATTATGATCATCATCATTCATGTCACTATTCAGATGTACGTATGTACCCATAAGGCTTCTATTTATGCGCCCGTTTATTGAATAAATAAATAAATAAATAAAGAGAATACAAAGAATGAATAATCGAAATGAAGGAGATAGTGTACACAAAGTAATATATTTGGTAGAAAAAGAATTTACATATTCAGTATTATTTAGACTCCAAGTGTGAAAAAGGAAACTTATTTATTTTGTCAGCAGATGAAATAAAAAGGTGGATTACGTTTGAATTAAGAATGACATAATTTACAATCTGTCAAATTATACACATATTAGGAGTGAGGAAACCTATTGTGCCTAAGGCAGTAAGCTAGTGAAGGGTTTAGAATGTAAACGTTGCATTCTAAACTAATTAGCTGTAATAGTGAAGGACTGATCATCAATAGAGTGGTTAATTAAACTGTAAAATTGTAAATAAATTCAAACCTCAACATTTATATCGCGACGTTGCATAATCAGTGGCAAGATCAGGGTAGAAATGGGATTCAGGAAACACAGAGGACTTGAGAAAGTGTTTTTGCAGTTTTTCAAGCAAGACTTTTCATGTACTGATCCCAAACAATGGATACATATTATAGAATAGATCGGACGAAGATGTTGAATAGAGTGAACTCTGCGTGCCGGCCATAAACACTCCCAAGGCTTTAGAAGCAGTTATATGTATATTAATATTAATTAAATCTGACTTGAAATTTAAATTATCTGTAAACGCTACTCCTAGGTCACGAATAATGTGTTTTCTAGATATTACAATTTTATTAATAGAATAGTCGTAAATTATAGGTATTGTATTCTTGGAGCATAAAACAATATAGTAGAACTGTGATTAAACCAACTTCTATCATCTGAACCATCTATTATCCGAACTGTAAATTAGTTCGGTGTACTCGAACCTTTTACTCCTTCTCAAATATCAAAACTTACTTTACTGCAATTCTATTACTGTTTATTAAGTTTATTGTTAATTTGGTTTAATTAAACTAAACCTCGCAGTAAGTTGACAATTGACAGTTTCAATTGTTCAATTGTTTTACCATCATTATCTACTTATATTAAAAACACTTGAAATTTCTGTTATCTAAATTTTCAATTTTCTGAAAAGATGCCATATCGAAAGTAAAATATTTGAATTTAATATTTGCTTTTTGTTAAAACCTTTTTTTTAAAAATTATTTTCTAATAAAGATCTAAACACAGTCATAAATAAATAATTAACTATAACCTTGATAATAAACTATAAAAAAAATTCTAAACTAGTTGAAAAATATACAAAATATAAAACAAAAATAACAGCATTTGCGACTTTTTCATCACGAAATAAACGATTTGTATTCAGATTTAGAATTTTACTGCACTATGTTAGAATTTCATGTTTAATTCTTAATATCTCAATTTCGCTACAGGGACGGTCTTTAAATTTTTAACAGATAAAGATTGGATACAGGCACATTTTCTCCAAGTTTAGAAGGACTTTTTCATAATTAAAATCGATTTTTTAGAAAATGAAAGGAGAATACTAAAATTAAAATAATCTGCAACACTTTAATCCATCAAAATGATTAAAATAAACCATCAAAAGGATTATTTTTTCAAAACGGTTACAAATGATTTGGTTTTAATGCAGAGAATTTTCTTTATTAATGAAGTTACAGAATCAGAATCTTACGTTTTTCTATAAATTCTCACTATTGTTTACCAATTTCTAATTGATACTGCAAAAAAATGTATAATAAAGAAACAGTGTTCTATAATAATTCAACATTTTTGCTTTAAATTTTGCACGTCTTTTAAACGAACTATAAAACATTCACAAAGTCTTCTTACGTTTGTTAATTTTTTCTTAATAATGACTAACACTATTTATTTTAGTGACAAAAATTTTATAGATTTAAAATTTTTAAATTAAAAAGATTTTTTTTAAATCAAAATCTATTCTCGCTACCATGTATTATAATAATTTAATAATAAAAAGATGCAAAAAAAATACTTTACTATTTTATAAAAATTATTTTAAAAAGAATTTTTCAAGAAAAGTATGAAAATTCACAATATTCAAACTTAAAAATGATGCATCTTAGTCTAAGAGTACCTTGCTGTCTTAAAATAAGACTTTCTTTTTATTATGTAAATTGATGATTTTAAAGTATCTAAACATAATTACTTATTTTCATAAAAGATGTATATTATATTTTTTATTTATCAAAATTTGAAGAGGAAAAGTTGAGCCTGGAAATCTAATATTGCACAAGGCTTTTGCAAGTCTTACAAATTAAGTCTCGATGTCGATGTTGGTCCTTGCGAACTGTTGGAAACTATGACTTCAGAACACGAAATATATTTCATCAAAGAAATCTTTATTTGGCAGTTGAATTTTAATTGAAGAAAATAAATTCTTTTTTCATCTCGCAGTGAAAATGTAGGATCATTAGCATTTTTATTTAGTTGAGAGAGATAATTTTTTTTTTGCTCGGAAAAAATGTGGAAAAAGAAATTGAGGAGAAAATAAACAAGATTCGTCCGAAAGCAAACTTATACTCTGTCGACGTAGACATACCTAATATAGGAACTACTTTCAGCCTACATTCAAAGTAGGTAAAACGAAGCAATTTCTACATGAAACCTGTTTACAAATCATATATTGTTTTCAAATTGATTATATTAAAATTCAAAATTTCAGACATTGGGTAATTGCAAGCACTGGGAAAAATTAAAATTCGATTTTGTTTGGGGATCTGTGACTGAAATGCGGAGAGGTATTGGAAGTATTTATTAAGTAGGAAGTAATTGAACTCTACTTATTATATTATCTCGTTATAAAAAATTGTTATGACAATCATGGAAATGACTGCATTGAATCGAATCCATGGCCTTGGTATGCTGAGTAGTATGTACCTATACCAGGTGTGTGTAATATGAAAAGAAAGGAGTAGGGAGCCAACGTGGTCGACAGTATTGCGCACCAGCCAGCATCAGCAAACACACCTTAGCCTTACTTAGTACAGAGCAGTACAGAGTTAGCCGTCAATCGTCGATGGTCCCGTATTGTTTCTTCGTGTCGGTGTTTATAAAAGGACAATTCACCTCGCACACTTTGTTTATATTCCAATTCCTCATTAATCATCGTCATTCTCTCTCCCACGCTCTCCAACACACAGTTGACACTGTCCATCAAGTAGTCGAATTACATTTCTAAAACTAATTACACTGCTCTAAGTGTCACACTACACCTTCATTGAAGAACTTTGTTGAACCGTTACACGTTACGTGAGTTACTTTCTGTACGAGAAGGGAGTCAGTAATCTCAATTGCAACTTTTCCCAATTTTTTAGTACTGTTAACCAGAAACGTATTCTCCTGCCTCGAGCATAGCAAAGATGTTAAAATATTTATTAATGGATGAATGGAGCAGTACAGCAGCAAGTGAAACCTTAATAAAATCCAGACTTTCTTATTTCAACTTCAAAGTTTCATCCTAATAAACTTTATTATCTAAATAAGAAATGATTGCAAACACTATGTGTTTGCTGCAATCTTTGCAATTCGTATCTAAGATGAATTGAATATTTGGAAACTCTTTTAATTAAACAGTCAACACCTGTTTGCGAAATAGTAGTTTTTCTAGAGATTCTAGAGAAAAAGAAGTATGAGCTACTACTGGAAAAACTATTTTAAATCTGCCATCCAAGTTGCAAAATATTCATCTAGCAGTAAAAAGTGACGGAAGGGGTCAGAAAATGTAGTTCATACAAAATCAAAATCTTCCTTTGTTTTTTTATTTTAAAAAATAGAATATTTAACATTTGCTCGAAAGCTCGAAAAATTGAAACATTGTTTCGAAATACTTTCGATAATAAAAGAGGACAAATTTTATCTACATATTACAACACTAATGAATCTATACGTGAAGTGCTATTATATTGTGTATGAAACTAGTGCTTGTTGTCATTAAAATGCAATCAAAATTGTTCACATCATCAAAACTCGTAAACATAAAAAGTAATTTAAAAAAAATTCTGCTTTATTGACCTTAAAGCCCACACTAAATCGAAGAAAATATTGAATCACATTTAGAAACATACCATCATCGGAAAGAATTTTTTTAAAAGATGGGTGGATTCGAAGTATACTTGATGAGAGTGGAAGTGGGCGAATAATTAATGTAAGGAGGAAAAATAAGAAGTGTTAAAAATGACTCTGATCACACCAAAGAACAGCTCCTCAATGATTCGGGACAAGGAAAACGTCCCAGCTTATGATGTACGTAATATTGTTTTTATTCATCAAAAAAATAACATTCTTTAATTCACAAAAAAAAAAATTTTTCGAATTATTTAAATGTAATCTGATCATTGAAAAAATGATCACTCTTCAACAACCTTGACCTTAAATTTGAAGATTCGCTATTTAAATTTGGTTCTTAGTTGAGTAGGATGTTCATTTTCTGTATTTCAAATATTCGAAATTCGTTTCATAAGTTTTTAAAAAATTGCTAAATAGATGACTACAAAGTTTAACTATAAGTCAGTAGAAGTTTCCTTTTTTATTTCGTACGAATCATATGGGGTGTTGACGAAGCCTTTGTAAGACAACATGATAAAGACCTTAACCCTTTCCCGGTGCTACAAACTTTCCACCCTTATGACCACATCACGTGACTTGAACATAAAATAAATCTATAAGCTCACGTGTACTTTAGAATCATTTTTAAAAATAAAATTTTAAATTGTAGTACAACATGTAAAAAACAATATTTAAAATATTTTTATAGTTTCCAATAAAATTATAATAGTGAAACAAAATTATCATTACAATAATTTACGAGATATTAAAGAGGTGCAGCTTAAATTCACACCAAAAGAGATTATAAAGTAATCCATTATTGAATTAATTATCACAAAAATATTTCTCTATGTTATTATTTATTGAACTCTTAGAAAACTATTTTTTCACAGTCCTGTAATAAATTAATTTGCAATAAAACAAAATTAGGGGAAGTGTGTGTAAGTTAACCTAGGTTTCTCCTGATAAAGAAACAGTATGCTTTTTGTGTAATTTTTTGTTTAACTGATAACTTAACGTTATCAACTAAACGGCCCGAGAACTAAACATTTTTTCAAATAAACTTGACCTTTAAATTTATCTTTATGGTGAAAACTTTAAAAGCATGCGAGTTTTTACATTCTACATTTTTTTTACCTCAGAAATTTAAAAATAAAATTTTTAAAAAATGGCCTCTATCTTTTTGCGTATTTATTACATTTTTATAAATATCTCGAGACTTTGAAGAGCTTAAGGGATGAATTTTATATAAATTGTTTGATCCCATAGGAGGACTTAAAATTATTATAGTCTTAGAATTTAAGCTATTAGGTTTAACCTCTTCGCAGTTATAGGATTAAAGTCTTGAAAGTGGGCTCAAAATGTAAAGAAATTTTTGGAAGATTAAAATTTGTTAAAATATGTACACTATAGTTTTCGAGGTCGCTGATTACAAAATTTTTAATATTCAAAATGTCGGATTCAATATGATAGATAAAATAAATATAAAAATTTAATTGGATTTGCTGTAAGCAAATTTTAATTAATTCTAATTAATTTTTTAAAGCTAACCAAAGTAATTGAAATTTTGAAAATTGTACATTTTGGAAAGATAACTTTTTGTGGTTTTTTTTGTATGCGACAATAATGCTTTTTATATAAAATGAAAATCTTTATGAGGAAGCAAAGTGTTGATAAAATGAACACAATTTTTCTTTCACTTAACGGCAGTTTTTTATTTTCTTTTGTTTGTAGAATAAACTTAGAAATAATTTTGTTTAATGATTCTAATTAAAATTTTATGTCAAATGCAATATAATTATTACTTCATAACAATTACCATTAGTAGTCATTGATTAAATTGTTGAGCTATTTTTAAGTTCAACATTGTTTCAGTTTATTGATGCGTTTACCGTTTAAAAAAAATTTTATCAAATAAGAACATTTTTATGGCAAAAGAAATTTTATTTGTTACAAAGTACAATGTCGTGAAAAAGAATGCAACAAAGAATAGACTTTTGACTAATAGTAAGTTGTTCTACTCTAACGGCCTCCTTTCCGATTTTTTACAGTATTGAAAACTAATCCGAAGATAATATTAACGCGCTCTGTTCATTTAGTTCGAATTTCTCTATGATTATAGTTCGATAGATGATAAATAATATAAAATTTTCAGTAATAATAATCATTTATAACTCAATGTTGCAAAAAAGAATTTATACTAATTTTAATTTATGTCATTATGTAATGGTATATAATTTTTCCTCGAAGCTGAAAATGGATTATAAGACTCCGAAAGTATTTTCTTATGTAGTTTAATAGCCTTATATAACAACTTTAATTAATTTTTAAAATGAAAAATAATAAATTAAAAAATAAAGTACATGTAATAATGATAAATAAATAAAATGAAAAAATAGTTTAATCAAATTAGTCCACTCTGTGCGTAGAGTTGTTTCTCCTTCTTTTCACTCGTATCCCTACTGCCAGCCGTCAGCCGTGGTGCTTAGGACTCTCACGCTCGGTTTAGGAAGAGGAGAGGAAAAGTACGTATAAAGTGGGAGTACCTCTGTTCTGAGAAAAATCTTATCTACTTGCAAATTTGCGGCACTATTCATAGAGATGACAGTTTTAGAAAAAAATTACTATATTCTCAGTTAAAAAAGTTAAACAAGAAAAACCGTCTGCATAATAATGGACCAATGATGCGAGCCTGGAATATTGATGCCAATATTGATGCAATAATGGTACCCAATAATGACCCAACCTTGATCATTTCTGCAAATAAACATGGCGAAGTGACAATGTTTTTGCCATTATTACCACAGTTTTTCTATGGATCTTTAATTGAGGTCATTAACAGCATCAAAACCTCGCATCGCGGCAATTTGATACATTGTTTGGTCTTCATTTGGGATCTTCAGGAAACTGGCTGGGTTCCATTATTTTATCAGTATTGGCATTCCTGGCTCCCCCTCTAATTTCGCTAAATTATTTTATCAACTTTATAATTTTAAATCAATAATAAACAGGGTTGCCTGTTCGCCTTAAAACATCAGTTGTTTATATTGAGAGATGATTCCATTTGTGCCTTCTAAGATACCTTTCTTCAGAGTGCGTCACATATGCTTTTTAAATATTTCTTCTGTATAGCCGTATAGAAATTTGTTTTATTTTTATAATGAAATTTTTTCATTTTTTCTTCATAAAATCTACAAATTATAAATTAAATATTATTGCATTAACTTTGTTTTAATTACTCAGTGAAATTCTGAATATTACTGAAAATTCGTGTGGGTTCCCTTAAAGTTTTGCTATAATTGTGTACCTCAAAAATTTATTTATTCAAGTTTAACTTTTTGCCTGCGGAAAAATTATGAAATAAATTTTTCTAATTACGAAAGGAACTAAATATATATCTTTTAGTCTATTATATGAAAACTTTTTATTAAGTATATTGTAAATTACAATGTAAAAAGAAATGTCGGTTGAAAATACATTATTATTATAGAAAATCTTTATAATCAAGCAAACGGGAATAACTGTCAATTTATTGAGAATAGGTTGCTAGGTTAACTCATTAAAAATGACTTAAAGAAAATTAAATAAATTATCGCAATTAAATTCTCTACAATTTACTTTCATATCTTTTATCAACTTTTACATAATTTGAAGATATTTCCGTATTATTTCAATGCTTAAAATTTACTTCTTTTTTCCCTAAATTTGTTAATTTTTTCCATTTTTTCCAAGACAATTATCTAATAGTAGTAAAAACGTGAATTTATCACTCAATGGTATGTTTTTTATTTAACATAACTCAGAGTGATTAATATTATCATCTTCATTAAAATACTTTTTAATTACTCTGCACAGCCACAGTAAACTTTGTTGAAGTTTACAACATTTATAATAAACGATATAGAAGAAAAAATAATTTTCTATTCAAATTTTTATCATAAAAATTTTTCTTGACTTTAAAAAATTTTAATTTTTAAGTGATTTTTTAAGTGATTCTCGATCAGAATGTTAGAAAAGGAAAATTTGTAAACGTAGAATATTATTGTTTTCCGAGTAAAAAATGTTGTTTCTTCCAAATCGTTGGTGACAAACGTTGTAAGCTTCACCCACGTATTCATCATTAAAATATGAGTATTTTAAATATTTTTTACATGACTTTAAGTTGACTTACTTTACGCATGACCGAAAATCTCGTTTGCTATAATTCCCTTTTGCATAATTTTATTTTATTTCAATTCTTATTTGGGATAATCCTCATTCATAGCATAATTCTCATTTGACATAATGTCGATTTGGTAAAATTTTCATTGAACTTTGTTTAACATAATTATCACTCGAAATACTATTCTTGTGGTATAATAATTTAAAGTGACACTATACTCACTCAGCATATAATTTGCATGTGATATTTGTTTTTGGTCACACAAATTTCAACCAAATGTTTCCACATCCGCAGTCAGTCGGTTGTCTGATCGGATTATAAGGTTTAGCGACAAGCAATGAAATTGTCAGACCTACTTTATTGGATGGCGCTGATAAAGCGGATAGTATTTATATCCAATTTGTTGGACGATGTATGACACGAAAGGAAATTAGTATTATATTTGCCTGCAAACGTTTCATTTCATTCTGAAAAATGCATTTTTTTATTCTTGTTCTTACTCATCAGTTTTTGCTTTTTATGACCCTTAAGGTCAATAATCTATCCGTATTCTTCATTCTATAAAGTTAATCATAGGATTAATTGAGTAAGCATTAATAGATCTGTAAACAGTCATTTGTTTTTCTGTTAAAAATATATTGTGGTGTCTAGAACTACTGTAGACGGAAAAGTTCTATAGCCTCGAGACAGAATTACGTGAGCAGTAAACGTCGCATAGGCAGCATAGACATTATAGTTGTTTTCCATGACAAATTTTCAAGAAGCTATATAAAAATTTTAACTTTTTAAAATAATTATTTTTTTAGTTAAAAACAGTCTGATTTTTTAATTTAAATTAAATTTTTTCTGCAGCTTGATTTTTTAGTTATATTAATACAAAATAAATTTTATAATATAGAAGCAAAACCGAGTGATAAAATAATTACTTATGCAGAGAAGTTAAAGTTAAATGAAAATATATTGTTATTGTACTAATTAATTAACCTAAAAAAGAAGTATAAACAATATCAAATCACATACTTTTTTTGAACAGTAAACACACTATTTGTGGTATCTTGTTCTATGGTTCTCGATATACTGAATTTATAAAAACTTGTTGCAGATAAAGCTTGAAAGAGTATTGGGTGTAACCGTATCAAGCAATGCAGCTTTAGATTGTGATTCAACCAGCGAGTTAATCGCTTATCCTGCAGGGTAAGTTCTTTCTCTGTACTTCAAAATTACTGACATGATCTCAATCCAAAGGATGAGTTTTTTAATTGGAAGAATAAATTATAAAAAAAAATTAGCTCTGCGTCATTCCATGGGAGATTTATTATTTTTCGGAGCATCCTCTCCAATTAAAATTCAACTTGGTAGTATTGTATTTATTGTTAAATGATCCAGAAAATCTACCTTTCGAGTGAAAACAATTGTTTATTTATAGGATATAATTGCACAAAGTTGTTTGAATGGTCGTATCTTTTGAGCGATTAAAGTTGAACAAGCTTTGTTTTTTGCATTCAACTCAGGAAATGAGACATGAGACACTTTAAACAAGGAACAAAAATTTATTCAGTAATTCATAATTTATTTGTTAATTACTAAAAATATTGGATATTTACATGAAATAATTATTTAAATATTGAGCGAGTTATCTACGCCTACTTTAATTTTCTTCTTGACACTTCTTGCATATGGATTTTTCTAGTCTTATTTCGTTTAATTGCGACTTCAAAGTTAACTTACTTTTACATTCACATCATTTTTAACTTATTATAATTATTAATATTTTATTTATTTGATTTATTTATTTTTCTAATGACCTTGTTGACTATGCTTATTACTATACTGATAGCTTTTGTAAAACGTTTCATTTCCTGAGTTGAATGCAAAATGAACTCTGTTTATCTTTATTGGCTTAAGAAATATAAGGATTTAAATAATCCGAAGGAATTGTATCTTATAGACAAACAACTGACCTAAAAAGTTGATTTTTTAAAATTCCATATGAATAAATACAAAATTAGCAAGTTTCAGAAAAATTTGTGAGGGAGACGTATGAATATTCCCGAATTGTCATTTAAAGAAACTGTTAATTTTATTCGAATTGCTATTGAACCAAATTAACACTTGTTAGAGTTTCCACTTGATCGGACTGTAGCTTTAGAGAATTATCATTTAACTGAACATTTCGATGATCTAGTTTTAAGTGCGCCATGTTTTTAAAAATACTCATCTCTTAAAAAAACTAAACAAACATTAGAACGACATTTATTATTTCGGTATACCAGTGTCAACAGTTGATAATTTCTTATCTTAAAGAAAATATTTATCTACAAGAGTTTATTTATTGATGGTACACTATACAACTGCTTAAGAATAAAACAGTTTTTTAAATCCTTGATTTCATTTAACTAATTTTGGAATTCTATCCGAATGATACTTTTGTGCAACAGGTCACGATCTCGCTCACGATCAATGCGATGAAATCGATGGTAAATTAAAAAGAAAAGCTGCGGATTTGCAATGTAAACAAAACCGACAAATATTATTAACAGAAGCAGTTTAGGGATGATCCATAAAAATTTTAATCAATCATGATTTTCTTAACGAAACATTCAGCAGAACACATTAACAACTAAGTGATAAATATCAATCATTTATCTCTCCTTATAATTACGAAATTATTTTCCGAAAAATTTGCTTTAGTAGTTTTTTCACTGAAATATCAAAACTACATTTCGCATATATTTATGCAAGAAGTGTATCTACCAGATAAGCTCATTGCGCACCTAGGGAATGTTTTTTCTGCGTCATCACTTTAGTCTTTTCGTGTTTGAATTTTCTGTTCTAAATATACATACTTTAGAAGGAAATTAGGAGTAATGTATTTAATGATATAATTGTGTTTATTGTAGATGTACTGTGGTGCTTTTTCATCCGCGAAAAAACACACAGACGCATGTGCTGAATGGCTGTCGAAAGACCGTAACGTCGTTGGCCCTGTCAGGAGATGGCAGGCACTTGGCCACTGGCGAGTGCGGACACGTTCCCAATGTCCGCGTCTGGGACATTTCGGATCCACAAAATGCCATTCAAATAACAGAATTCTCTGGCCATAAGTATGGCATCAATTGCGTTGTAAGTAGACACGAGAAAAGCAGAAAAAAGAGTTTGTCCAAATTACTCTAAATTGTGTATTTCACTTCTCCTTCCAGGCATTTTCACCAAGCAGTAAATATGTAGTTTCGGTCGGTTCCCAACACGATATGATAGTAAATGTCTGGGACTGGAGGAATAATGTAAAAGTAGCATCCAACAAGGTTTCAAGTAAAGTAAAAGCCGTGTCTTTTGCTGAGAGTGGAAATTATTTTGTTACGGTGGGCAACAGGCACGTAAAATTTTGGTACCTGGAATACTCCCGTAGTGCCAAGGTAAGTAATGTAATGTCAAGAAACAAATTGCTAATTCTGTTCTTGAAGTGGACTCTGCTAAAAAACTGTTTACCTTTCAGTACAAAGAACCAGTGCCTTTGATGGGACGTTCTGCCATATTAGGAGAGCAAAGAAATAATGACTTTGTCGATGTAGCTTGTGGTAAAGGCGAAATGGCAGACTCCACGTACGCTATCACTAAATCGGGTCTTTTATGCGAATTCAACAATAGAAGATTACTCGATAAATGGGTTGAATTGAGAGTAAGTTTTGCATTGCAATAAAATATGCCAAAACTTACCAGATTGATAATTATTTTATTTATTTTCAGACGACTAGTGCTAATTGTATGACAGTGGGAGACAAATATATTTTTATCGGATGCGCAGAAGGAATTATAAGGTGCTTTAGTCCTGTAACACTTCAATTTATTACTACACTACCTAGGACGCATTATTTAGGAGTAGATGTCGCTCAAGGATTATCAATTAGGTATGTTTTTTTCCCTAATATCTTAATTTAAAGCAGCTACAAACATTTTTGATCTCATAAATTTCTGGCAATGTTTTTGTTTAGAAAGTTGATAATTTTTGTCAATTGTCAGCAAAATGTTACAAACAGATGAGTAATAATTTATAGAAGCTAAATAATACAGTATTCGAACTAGATCCGTAAATCCCGTAAAGGTCCGTAAATTTGTTTAATTATTTTCAGTCATATGTCACAACATCCAGCGAATGCAAGATATCCTGATTCAATAGCACTCGCTTTCGACGAGAAGAACAACAAGTTAACGTGTGTCTACAACGACCACAGTATCTACGTTTGGGACGTCAGAGACATCAGGAGGGTGGGAAAGTCCCATTCTTTCCTCTACCATTCGGCTTGTATTTGGGGAGTGGAAATGTATCCTGTGGGAGCGAGCTCTATCGGTGCCATGCCAACTGGAAGTTTCGTTACTTGCTCTAGCGATGATACAATTCGCATTTGGAATTTAGACAAAGTACTCTCGACAAACAACACGTTGTACAAAAAGAACATATATAGCAATGTAGGTTTCAAAAATTAAATCGTATGTTTTTAATCGTATGTTTCTTTTTTCCTAATGTGAATACTCTTTTTTTCAGGAATTATTAAAAGTTCTGTATGTTGATCCTGAGCTGACGTACTTAAAAGATCTTGATTTAGCAGCTGCTGGATCGACAGAGAAGAACGATGCCTCGTATGATGGTCGAAATGGTGTTAGATCTATTAGAGTGAGTCCAGATGGAAAACATTTAGCTTCAGGGGATAGGTAACTAACAAATTTTTTGTTAATTTGTATACTCTCGTTAAATATACGTTTGTGCCAAATAAAATAATGTTATTCTTCTGGGTACATTATAACTACTCCCTACTATTAATTAATAATGAACCCAATTTTTGAATGTTTTCTGAAAACTAAAGGAATCTTGTGTTTATTTCTCTTTTTTAGATCTGGTAACATTAGGATTCACGATGTTTCAACCCTGGAAGAACAGTGTCGCATAGAAGCTCACGATGCGGAAGTTTTGTGCCTGGAGTATTCAAAATTTTCGCAACATTCTCTGGACAATCCGAAACTGCTGGCAAGTGCTTCTAGAGATCGACTCATTCATGTTTTCTGTGTCAATGAAGGGTACAATTTTTTGCAAACACTCGATGATCATAGTTCGTCGATAACAGCCGTTCGCTTCTTCAATCAAACAAATCAAAACAATCAACTTCAGATGGTTTCATGCAGTGCGGATAAGAGTATTATTTTTCGTCAACTTCAAGAAGTAATTAAAATTATTTACATTTATTCTGTACACTTTGCGTAAAGTGCTTGTTTATTTGTAAAACAGTAAGGAAAAATCTACTTTACGCAAAGTAACTGAATAGTATTTTTCTATTTCCAAAGAGTTTGTTTGAGACAAACAACCTAATTTGTAAACATAAGTTGTGTAACATAATTAACAGCAGAGTTTTGTAATACGTGTGGAGGATGGCATTATTTAAGGTGTGATTCGAGTGGTAGAGGCAAGCCATGTCAACTCTTTGGAAATACTCGTATGTTAAACTGAATGTTTTGTACTAATTATTATTTACGAATTTTCTAGACATCGGGAGGATCGCTGCAATTTACAAGGGGACAAAATGCGCAGGGAAAAACAACACTCTATGACATGGAGGTTGATTCTGGTCAAAAGTACGTTCTTACTGCCTGTCAAGATAGGAATATCAGAGTCTACAATGTAGCGAATGGAAAACACAGCAAGACTTTTAAAGGTTCCATTGGTGAAGATGGATCGCTCATTAAAGTTGTATTAGGTATTTTCAAACATTTTATTTTAAGAATTTTAATTCTATGCTTCGTTAATATTTTTAAATATTTAAAATCACAAATTACGAATTTGACATTAGAATTATTATTTATTAATTCTATTTCAAAATTATAGCATTAGTTTATTCTTAATTCGCTTGATATCTAAACTTGTTTCTAAAGAAATATCTTGATCACTAATCATAAATCCAGAACTGCTGCTACAGATCATAATTCCATACTGCCCACCAAGCATTCAATCTGACAATAGCGGTCGTTAGCAGCGGCAGGGTTAATAAATATGAAAACCCGGGTTATGGATTCATTTTCAACGTACAAAAATTGTTGACTTTCCCAGCACTAACTTTGTATTCCACTATTTTCTTTGTTGGTATTGCTTTTGATTTCCAATTGTTTTAATACAGACGCTTCGGGAATTTACGTTGCCACGTCATGTACGGACAAAACTTTGTGCGTTTACGATTACTACAGTGGCGAGTGCATGGCGACGATGCTGGGTCACTCTGAATTGGTCACCGGTTTGAGATTCAGTTCCGACTGCCGTCACTTGGTCTCCGCCAGCGGCGATGGTTGTATATTTATTTGGAAAGTACCCCACGATATGGTTGTCACAATGCACGCACGACTCGCCCAACAAGCAATGCGCGCTGGAAAGTGAGTAGACTGCAGCTCACAAATTCCGCTTTCCTATTTATTTCTACATTCTCATGACATGACCTTCTTATGTCACTGTTTGCGTTCCATTTGTTATTGTCATTTTCGTTTTTAGATGTTCGACACAAATGAATGGTGATGCAGTGGATCTTCAGTTGGACAATGAAACATTCGGTCCTCCATCTGCGGAATTCCTGGATCCGAATGCCAACCAAGCGCACAATGATCCAGGAATTGATTACCGATTCAGTATCGGGCAGCTTCCTCTGTGGGCGAAGAAGCAAATAAATACGACGAACACTGACGGTCGGACGTCTGGCAATTCGGGAGCGAGGTCCCTTTGTGTCGATCTGCCGAAAGGTCGCTGGGCCCAGAGGGTGCAGCAAGGGGATGGCATCACTGTCAAATCTGTTTACGACAGTGACGAGGTGATTCCGTTTCCGCCTCCACGGGGAGGGACGGATTCTGACGGCAACGGTGGAGGCGGCGGTTCTAAGGACAGTTCCATCGACAGTGGCACCGAGACCAAGTGCAGCAGCGACTATCGGCGGGAGTCTATAATTATCAAAAGGGTTAGTGCTTTCTGTTATTTTTAATTACATTAATTACCCAAGGCTCGATCTAGTTCCGTACTGGGAAAAAATTAAATTTTTAGAATTTATCAAAAAATTCTGATTACCACAAGTTGTCTTTTTTTATACAATTTTTAAAACTTTGCATTAAATTTTAGGAAAGTGAAGAAACAATTTTCCAGACAGGTCAAGAGAGATACAGGGAAATGACTGAAAACTCTAAACAGGTACTACTTGGTGTATTTTTATAATCATCACAAAACACTTGAGCAAAATTTTCGTTTTCTAAAAAGCATTTGATGTAATTTTTTAGATCGTGAGCAGTAATATAGTGCTGTTGAGGGATAATGATGCCACGGAAATAACACGGCAGTCCAGAAGTCGACATTACACTGACGATAGTAGCCTGGGCAGTTTTAAATTTGAGGTATTTATTACTTTTATTTATGATTTTCCGAAATCATAACTTTTTAGGGACTTTTTTAATTTACTAGAAACTGAATAAAAGACAAACAAATACTGTTTATAAACATTTTCAATGACTAATTTCTGTACCTTTTCTTCAGGATCATGAAAGTACCGAACATGATGGGGACGTAGAGGATTATTCTGAAGGAGAAAATGGAACAACTGGATCGGAAAAGTCACACCATCGTCTCATGTATTATCCTTCACCTCAAGATACCACTTCGAACCAGTTCACTGTTAATGCCATGGACGTTGAAGAACTCAGAAGGTTCATTTTTATTCTTAAAAGCAATTCGTCGCTTTTTACTGACAAGATTATGTAAAAGAATTTACTCAAGTTAATTTTTAATTGTTTGTAGATCTCAGAGGCGAGTTAAAAAAATAAAGTCCAATGAAGGGGGAAGAAGTGAAATTACTGCTTCCGGTAGTCAAGAAGATTCTGATTCAGAAGGAGGAGCGTCGACACCAAGTGCCGAAAGAAATCCTCTATCAATGCTCTCTGAAGCAAGTTCGGAAGGCTTCGATCAGCTAGTTAATCAAACTCACAGAGAAAAGTTTTTAAAAAACGCTTTCGAATCTCTTAGTGGTACCGAAGATCATTCTAGTAGATTAAAAAGCACCAGTATTAGTTCACAGTTTCATGAAAGGTAAGACTTTCGTCTATTTATTGTCTCAATTGCAATGTCGAACATTTAAACATTTTTAATTATTAATTTTCATTTTCGGAAATTATTTCCAAGTCAATTTCCAATTGAAGTTGTAAATGTTGATTTTACAGGTTAAGTGGTGGAGAAAAATCAAATTATAATTTAAGTAACGCGCCTGTTACGAATGCGTCAAAGCAGGTCAAAAGCAACGTGGACATGGCGAGAAAGAGAGAGGAACTGCAGAGACGAATAGAAGAGACGAGGAAAAAACTACAAAGTGTAAATATTATTTTACTGGCATTATTTTTTAAAAAACTAAAATAGTATTAAAAATTTGTAAATTATTTCAGGTTGGTCATAGGTCGTCATTAAAAACGAGTCAGAGTATTTCGGACCTAAGTAGCCATTTCACTGACAAACACCACCGCCAAAACAGAAACAACACAGGTAACGGATTTGGTAAAAATTTAACAAAACTAACCAAGCCAAATAAATCCAAAACTTTACCAAACCCCAAATTGAAACTAAACTCTCTATCACTAACTAACAAAATCCCAGGTGTTGGCAATCCCGTAACTAAATTCCAAATGCAGAAAGAAAGCCTCTTTCCCAAAAGTCGAACCACGTCGTGCATAAGTGAAAAGTACAGTAACACCTCGAAGCGTCCTGTAACGTTAACTTTAAAAAAAACCGAAAAGTACAAGGTATCTCTAAACAAAACAAACCTCTCCCTACCTGAGTCGCCAGTTTGCGAGGAACTCAGAACCTTAAAAGAACACTGCAAAAGGAATATGACTAGATTTGAGAAATTCGGGCAGAAAAGAAGGTCGTGTAGTTATTTCATCGGCCTCGAGGACAACGAGGAGAACGTAGAGACTATTGCAAGGTCCTTCGAGAGTCTCCCTGCGATGAACGAGTACAGTCTTGAGAATTTTAATCAAAATTTCGACGAGCCTGACGACGGCAACGGAAATTTCAGCGACGATTCGTTGGAAGGCGATTTCAACAATTCGCCGCGACGGTGCGTCAGTGACTATCAGATAAATGTAGAGAAGCAGTCGGACAAGAATTACCTCAGCTATCAGAACTTTTACAGACAAGTCTTGACACAATCAGAAGAGAGTATCCTGTCAAACGTTTCCGTTGAATCTTTCTCGAAAGGCAGTATGGAAATACTGGACTACAATAACTACAACAACGAAAGACACTCAAGTGCCAGTTTCTTCCTCTCCCGTCGAAACATGAAGTCAGTGCGGAGTCAAGAGAGCATGCTCAATGACGAGTCGGAATACCCACTGGAGAAGAATGCCAATAATCGAAGTACCGAAAGTGTCCTGACCGACGACTCCGATTTGCTCGTCAAGTCCGCTCCCCTAGAAGTGCTCTTCGATTCCGACGACAAACGAAAACAACGAAACTTTGAATCATACATTGACAAAATAAAGGAAACCCCAACGTACAATCAGAATTTAAACATCGGCGCCACTGTCTTCAGGTCCAAGTCACTCCAAGACACGAGTTGCAATCTCATAAACTCGATGAATGAGAGTTCGCAAGAGCTTCTTCTAGAAAAAGCTGCTGAAAATTTCAACAACGACAAAGTTAGTAGAAAATCTGATAATTCCAGCAAAGTTTTCAAAAAGTCCCGAGTTCCCCAATCGACGTTAATTTTCAACGACTACGTAGCGCATAAGCCGCCGAAACCAAAGAGAAATTCGTTCAGAACGCAAAGCATGAGGAACAGAACGAGACCCGAATGGAATCAGTGTTTCCAGTCGATCGAGACCCTACAAGCCAAAGACACTTATTTGGTCAAGGAAAATAGAAGGAATTGTAAAACATCTCGGGAGGACAGCTCCGATGAAAAATATTACGTCAGTCGTAAGATCAAAAATAATCAAAATCTCAACTTTGAAAAGGAAGACTCGAAGACACGAACTGACATTTGTTATGGAAAAGAAACGCCGACAAAAGACACTGAGTGTCACAATTTCCTCGATGCTGAAAGACAGACCGACTTGTCGAAGAAGAAACTCACCATCGATCAGGTTAAAAGTAAATTTAGTCCTATTAGTGGAAATGCAGATAAAAAGGCTGATCTTAGAATATGTAGAGACATACAGGGAACAGTGAAACTGCTGTCAAAGGAATTTGAAAATCTCGTTTTACGCGAGAAGAAGAACTTTACGAAAAATTATCGTTTCAAGGAAGTGAATAATAAGAGTTTTGCCGAAACGGGCACGGAGAGAGACGTCGGTAAAATTAACAGAGAAGGTCAGAAGTACTCCGGAGGTGAGGACAGCGATTGCACTGACTTGTCGACAATGGATAAGTCTTTGTTGGAAAGTGGCTCTTCGACGCCTTTGTCGAGTTGCACGAATTCTCCGAAGAGAATGTGGCCACCAGCTTCGAGATGTCATAATTTTATCAAGTTCTCAAAGACACTACCAACAATCTGTCAATCGAATATTCCTTCAAAACAACATCAATTTTCAGGTATCCAAGTTTTCGGAAAAAATCAGCATTGTGCATATATTTTTGTCATTCTTCTTTATTTCGGTTGTTTCACTTTATCAGCTAACGAAGCTTTCTTTGTTTTTAGAATTCAGTTTCTTAGGTTTATAGTTGAAGCTTACTGTAGAATTTTATTTCTTGATTCTATTTGTTGTATTACTGTTCGTTAAAATCAAAGAAGGGGATAAGAAAGATTCTTACAATCCGTCGTGAATTGGGAAATATTTCGTCAGTCGAATTCTCTTCTTTGATGAAAGCCTGCAATTATGTTTTGTGGTTATACAATTATTTTAATTGCGATCTCACGATCAAAACTTTGCACTCAATTGTTTCGAAAGACTTAATCTTGTTGATTTTAGCAAAGAGAAGAGTTATAGTTTTTGTTATTAGGAACTATAAAGAATTTTAAAAAGATACTTAGTGAAAAGATAATATATGAAAAATCCAGAAGTCAAAAGATGATATTTTCTGGTCATGGGAAAGTAATTTCTTTGTCAATTATAAATGCCAGAAAAAAATATTTTTTATCAGAGAAATTAAGGAAATTGAGATATATTTACAGATCTCGGATATTATGACTAATTTGCCACTATTTAAAAAAATGCCACTTTTTTCGACTAATTTTCAAAATTTTCGATTTTTCTTCCAAATATTATTTTCTAGAATATTTAAATAAAATTCTTATTTAAATAAATTTTTTTTAAAATAAAATAAAATAAAACTTTTGCCAAAGTTCTTTTAGAATTTTCAAATCCATTTTTTTAAAAGTTAATTATTTAAATACGAAAATAAATGAATAATTGAATAATTTGTTGTTTCTTAAAATTAAATTTTCATAGAGAATTTTATCAACAAATTTTTAAATAATTGAATTCTTTCAACGAATTTTAATAAAAAATTTTAAGAATAATCGCTTTTTTCAAGGATTTCGAATAAAATTGTATTAAAAAGAATTGAAATTCTGCGATGAGTTTTATTATTTATAAAAATAACTGAAATCCTGAAAACATTTTTATTACTTATGAAAATAATTGAATCCCTGAAAAGAATTTTAATACTTATGAAAATAATTGAATATTTGTTTAAAATTTTATCAAATTTTTTTTAAATAATTCAATTTTTTAGAGAAATTTTACTAAAATAGTAGAGACTGAAAATCAGTGAATTGAGAAAAAAATTTGATAAATAATTGAATTTCGGCAATGAATTTTGCCATTTATAAAAATAATTGAATGCAGAATGAAGCGATTATTTTTTTAATAATGGAAAATTATAATATAAAAATTGGTTAAAAAATTAGTCAGTTTTTTCAATTATTTCTCCTAAAAACTAATTTATGTGCAGTAGAAAAATTGTGGGAGAAAGCCTAGGTTAACATTCCAGAACAGTTAAATCAGATTCATAGATAGCTCTTTCACTTATGTAACAGGCATACCTAATATGACGTTTAAAAAAAAGGAATAAAAAATTATGAATGAAATTATTCTACCGCATGAAAGACTTTGAACCTACGACCTACGCAATACAATCTAATGCATTGCCACTACGCTACTAACGCACGTTAGTATTTGATTCTAAATCAAAGTGCCTTTTAAGAGTGACACGATGGCTAATCAGTAATATTTTAAATAACTTGTACGTTACCTGAATGCGTCATCAATTCAAATTAGAATAGAAATTTAAGAAACATGAATACAAATATTATCTCGCAAGCAATCTTATGTTACAAATAATCAAGTGGGGATATTTATTTTGATTCGATTTAAAATTTAATTATTTGAAATTTTTATAATATTTTTATATTATTTTTAAGTGTTTTAAATTTTATTAAAATTTATTATTTTGTACACAAAATGCTTGATACACATTCACATATCCGTCAGTGTTAATTTTTTGTAAATTTTTTCTTTCTTGTCAATTCATATCTTCTTTTGTAGAAATATAACTGAATTAGTATCAGATCGAAATGCAGAATAGAGAAAAATTATAAGGAATCTATAATGGATTGAAAGAGAGTAGGAACACCTGGAATGTTTATTGTGTTCTGTTTAGAAGTATTAGGCATATAGGATAAATTTCTTCAAAAGGAGAAATTGAAATTATGACAAAAACTTTTGAGAAACTTGTGTATGAACTCCTTAGTTGAAAGTAGGTGAAGTTCGTTGTCCCTGTGTTTGTCAAATTCTGTTACATTTAATTTTTCCTTAATTTTCCTAATTTTCTTGCATGCTCTCCCCTCCTTCCTCGTGAAATCGTATAGCCAAAATTTATTTCATTTAACTTTTTTAATTTGCTGGTGCTTTCAACTCTTGAATGTTTGAGAGAAGTACTAACTCTTTTAGGAGACTGATGATATCATTTAAAGCAAATTTTTTCTTTATTTATCAATTCATAATTAGGTTGTTATATTTTTATTAACATTTCTTTTATGATTATAATATTACGCTCCACGAGAAAAGGGACCTTATGGGAAAAAATTCTAGGTTATGTTTGTGATTTTTGAAGTGAAAATAATATACAAAGAAGATTAATTTTTAAAACAAAATACTAACGTTTAAGTCTTTATTAAATCCAAAATACTTAATAAAAACTTATTGTGATTTCATATACTTAAAAATGAAAGTTTGATTAAGATAAAACTAAAACTAAAGATAACCTACAATTTTTTACCCATAAGGTCCCTTTTCTCGTGGTGCATCATAATAAGTTTAATAAATTATATAATTTTCATTTTTTCGAAAATGGTTTTTAACCATTGGTTTACCATTTTTTATATTAATTTACCTTTAAACTTATTGATGGGAAATTACATTTCAAATCGTTTCAACAACAAAAGACGATCGCGAGAAGAGTATTTTCTAAGTAAATTTTATTATATAAAAAAGGAATTATTAATAATAAGTTATAAACTAATTTCAAAATAGAAATAAATGAACTTCCAATTATTTTCTTATTTTTCAAAATGTCTTCTAATTTCGTTGAGAAATTCCCGTTAAAAATGTGAAACTCTTAAAATCTCAAAAACTTGATTCAATTCTCTTTTGAATTAGTTTATAACTTATTATTAATTGTTCCTTTTTTACAGAATAAAATTCACCTAAAAAATACTCTTCTCGCGATCGTCTTTTCCTCTTGTTGTTGAAATGGTTTGAAATAGAATACCCCTGATGGTTATTTCATAAAAAAGAATTTTATAAATGATTTGGGTACAAAAGTTCCTTAAAAGATAGAAGTTTGAACCCAAAACTTCTAAGAGAATTGTTCCAAGAATTGAAAGTTCCAAAGGTTCCAAATTCTTTGTTAACAAAGCATGCGGCTTGTCTTAATTTTCTGTCCAAATTTAAGTTGACGTATCATGCTCTTGGTATCAGCCTTCTCCTATCGTAAATATGTACTTTGGAAAATTGTATAGGCTTGGGCGTAAATGCCATAATTTAGTCTTTTTCTTCTTGGAAAAACCGTTGGCGTAACTATGTGTATCTCTTGAACGTATTCTATGCGTTTTGACAGTTTTTTTATTATTGTTATCGAATTTATAACGATACAATTGATTAGGGAACACATTTTAAATTTCAAAGGAAAAAATCAAAACGAACTGTTAAAACGAATGGAATACATTGCACCAGCGGTAGTTCCAAGTCAGTCAGCAAGTGCACCAGTCTACAATCGTCAATTGGTGCATTAGGTGCTCGGACTGTCTGTCCAAACAGCACTATCTACTTCGAGTTTCATAGAGTGGTCAAATCTATTCGCCACTGAGAAAATCGAGGTAAATATTACGGCTGGAATAGACAGACTGTATCTACTTTGATTTTCTCGGTGGAGAATTCTACTAACTCCTACGTAACTCGAAGTAGACACTCCGAGCGCCTAATGCACCATTGTATAGTCATCTTTAATTACATTATTGCTGTAAGTTTTCCAATTGAATACGAAGAGATGCATTGCAGCTTCAGCTGTACTTTCCAAAAGTGCATACACTAACTGAAGCACCAGAGTTTATAATACCGCGAAATAGGAAAAAACGCGAGCTGTGCTGAATATATTGATGAAACTTTGGAACAGACAGATTGGAACTTTTTTGGCACTTTTGAATCCCAACCTGAAACTTACCATTTGTTTAATTATGAAAACACTTTGCTATATATTTAATTGTACTAGAACTGTAGCTTAGTGCATGTGTGTGTATGTGTGTTGTCAGCAGTAGGCACTGTTGGGAAGCGACTGCCATCAAAGGTTGTTGATAGCGAAGACGAGGATTCTGGCATGAGGCGTGCCTGTTCGTTAAGTGATCTGTCCATCAATCCACCCAACAAGTTATTGCATGGTTTAGTCCAAGGTATTCGTTTTTTCTTTCTATTTACAATATTCACTGCTGCTAAATATTCTTTATTTTTATTTAAATCCGTGTCTATTAAGTTTTATTCGCCTCTATACATAGAAACGTTGTTCATTAGTTCCAGGAAAATTACCCAACAAAATTGTCAACACTTCCTCACGAGCGGGAAGCGGAAATCCAAACGTTGGCTCGTCGAGGCACTCGACTGCGAAGAGTCACTCGTCGCACATGACTCGAAGCAGCAGTGTTGGTGTACTTAATCAGGTAGAGAATCTTACATCTATCGAAGGCTACCCGGGGAAGCCAACAAATATTTAATGTTTTATTAATGTTTAAAAATTGCAGAGTGATTCTGAATCGGATGCAGGAGCGAGCGGAGTGGTTAGAGACTGGAACAGTAAACCTGTAAATAGTAGAATAAATGCGCTAATGAGACCTACGATCAGTTCTCAGAATAAGGTCACTCACTTGGCAAAAGCCAACTCCTGCTTCGGATCGAATATTCCTTCTGTGTTGCGAAGAAGGGGCATGCAAGGGGCTTATTCAACAAGTAAGTTTTTCACTTTTAACGTAATTATAATGAATGGTCATTGTTTCTTCGATCATTCGACTGACAATATTTTGGTTTCAGTGAATTTATGTCAAATTAGTAATCAAGAGGACTCGAGCTCAGAAGAAACGTCTTCTAACGGAAATGGAAAGCCATCTTTACCTTTACGGCCTAGGAGTATTAGCATCGACCATTCCGCTACTAGGTAAATATATTTTTTCACAATTCTATCTTAGTTACCTGTTTAGTATTAAATTCAAGATGGCAGTTCCAATATGGCGGATTAAAAATATTTCAAGTACATTTAACCTTGCTGCAATCACTGCTGGAGGGGTAGTGAACAGAATCGTGATCAACGGCCCCAAAAAAATAAAATAAATAATTACATATTATAAAAAAGTATTTATTTAATATTAATAATAATAATAAATTGTTTTGTTTCAGTGCGTGTATGTCTGGACAAGCAATGAAGAGAATAGGCTCTTCTTACACAGTAAACAATCGGCCTGTGGAGGGAATGAGCGCTCAAAATAATTCTAGATTTTCTTTAACAAATAGAAATCAACTTGAACCTAGTCCTCACGAACTTCCTGTTAAAGACACTGACCGGGGAATTGACGTTACTAGTGCAGACTGTAAGTACTTAATACTTCTGTTTTTCAAAAACTATTTCTAATTAATTTTAAATAGGAATTTATTTTATTATAATTATTGATTTCTTCACTCGACGCCGATCGAGTTTAAAAACTGTCAGGGTTCAGTTTTATAAAATCAAATAATATTTTAAGTAAATTTCTGATTAAAACGTCAGAAGAATGGAAGATTTTTAAAATATAGAATAAAATAACGTAAAGCGCACTGATCGGTTTTAATTATGTGAAATTGGCAAACAAATATTTTCCAACATGTTTTCTAAACACAGACCTTTAGTAGCACTTTGGCAGCTACCAGGACGTGCAGCCGAACATATAACGACTGATTCGATCCATACATTCAATTCATCTCTACCAAAGCATAATTTTAAATGTAGGAATCGAGTTGAACAGAAATCTGTAAAAAAACAGATTTTCAACATATTATAACTTCTATTGCCTAATTTACATTTTTCTTTAGAAATTTTGTAAATTAATCAAGGAATTTCATTAAAAATTTCTGTTTATAGTAGACGTGGATGAAGAATTAGGTAAACGAAAATAATTGATCAAAATTATTACGTGTTTTTAAATTATATGCATGGTACAAATCTCAAAATACAAGATATACCTTTCAGGGAAGATTTTTTAATCTGCATGACTTTTTGTCTGAACTGTAGGAGAAGATGCTTATGTTATATTTATGACTTGCTGTATGTTGTACTCGTATTTGTCGGGTTTTTGGTATTTTACATCAAATTCTTTTATTAAATATAAACTTAAGATGCAATTATTTATTTATAGTAATTGAATATGTGATGTAATTATTTTAAGGGATAACACTCCTCTAGAGGTAGAATAAGAGACCTATATCTTTCTTGATTTATTTTGAAAAAATGAATAATGGAATAGGAGTGTTTATTAAATACATATTGAAGTGTGGAAATTTTTTTTTAAATTATATAACAATTGTAAATAAAAATTTTTTTTCTACATTTCATTATGTATTTAATAAACCCTCCAATTAGAAATCCTATTCCATTTTTCATTTTCCCAAAACAAATCATCAAAAATTGGTTTCTATTTCTGCCCCTTTAGGTTTAAAAATTTAACTATTCAATTCACAATAAATTTATAATCTTTTGTCTTTCCATAATTTTATTTATTTATTTATTATAAAAATAATCAAAATTTGTCTGAAAATATGTAATCATTGTCTATGACCCATTAAAATTTTTGCAAAACCGATAAGAATATTAATGTCTTTGTTATATGTTTTGTTGGATCACAAAGTTTTTGCCTAATCTCAGAAACTATGTCGAATTTTTAGTAGCACATTCTTTTGTCCTAAATTGTTTTTGCCTTTGGCCATGGTTTGCATAAATTTTGGAAATTGTCAAAATATACAAATTTTTAGGTTTTAAACTATTTCCGCCTTCGGCAATGGTTCGCTAGATTTTGAACGTAGCTAAACATTAAAAAAATATTCTTGTTTTCCCCCATGATTTTCTAGATTTTTGACATAGTTCAAAATTCAAAATTTCTCGTACTAAAAAGTATGGCTCAGAGCTTGATTACCGTTTCCTCGCCGGATATCGTTTATGTAGGTAATGTTGCATGGATATGTCGTTGAAAAATTAGAATTATTTAAGCAAAAGAAAATAGAAAAAATGAAAATTATTTATATAAAATAATCGAATGAAAGTACATAACATTAAATATGAGAGGTGAGGTTTAATGAATTTGTGACTTGAAGAAATTAATTTGTAAGGAGATTAAAAAAAGTGGAAAAACGGAACGGTTACCGTACCTAAGATTAATGAACTTAGCTATTGAGAAATATTAAATCTGATATAATTTTTACAGTATCAACACAATTGTGCAGTACTGTAGCAGACGAGTTGACTCGCACAGCTGACAATGTTGTTCAACTCTATAAACGACTAACTTTAAACGATAGTGATGATCCCTCGAGTGCGGCAATCGGCAGAGACACAATGCTACGCGATTTGGAGTCCTCTGTTAACGAAGCCATGCGAACGCTGCGTCTCGTAGTTGCTGCTAAGAATGAGAACAACTCTTCAGACAACATAAGCGTTAACGAGGCGACGGAAAAGTTTCAAGAATTGCTCGCAGGTCAAGATCAAAGTAAAATCGTTAACATGATGCAGCAATATTCGGATATGCTGCTCTCGATGATGCAGCAAAGAATGGGAGGAAGTCAAGGCAATCGTTCCTAAAAATCCGTCCATTCGTCAATCAATTGAATCTTCTATTTCTCTAAAAACCAATAAACTATGAACAAAATTTATATTTTATTAGTTAACTTTGATTTTTGCTTTTTCGTTTAGGCGCATATTAGAAAATTCAATAACGAAAGCATCTGTAAATCAAAATTTTATTAGAATTTTTTTGATTTTTCAAATTAATTAAAAATCGGCGTTGAAAATAAAAATAATTTTATTTTGCGTTTTTAACAAAATTCTTTAGTTCAAGTTTGCAAATCAAGTTTAGAGTATTTATTGTAAAGGTTATATTAATTAGTGGTATTAAACAGAGCCATACACTGATGGAATTAATGATTTTTAAGTGTAAGTTACTGATTAGAAATTAATTTCCTCTGCCGAAGATGTTCAATTATTAATTACTAATAATTTTAGTATACTACCAAAGGCTATTGATGAATTTATGATATTACTTTTATTCTGGCCTTCTGGATTTGAATATCACATTTCGTCTTATCTCTTAACTTCATTATAACGAAATGAGAAAATGCCGAGAACGCTTCTTTATTTACTGCAAGTTTTATTAAAAAATATTTTGCTATACTGTTGAGAGCTCGTATGAAAATGGACAAGAGTAGATTGTCAATAATATGTTGCCGTTAATTTAAACTATTTTTCAAGTTTTACGAATGAAATTTATTAAAGATTTATAGATTTTTTAACAGTAATCTTGTTTTTTAAGAAAAATTTATATATATTTATATATAAGTTTAAAAACATTTTTAATGCATAACAATGCTTGTTGGTAGTTTTGTTTGCTGTTTGAGGATACTTTTGATGAAAAGGGTAACAATTCTATTCTATTTTATTGAAACTTTATTATATCAGATGAGATATTTTACTTGTTATTCTTGTTCTTTTGATTCCCTTTGAAAAGAAGAATTTGTGCTGTGGCACATGAAATGAATTGAAAACTGAATTGAAGATTGAAATTTACAGAATTGCTACGAATACTGCTTCGTAAAATTAATGACGTACGTTACACACTTTGAAAGTGTTTTTAATGATGAAAATAATTAGAAATCGTAGTTAGTTCTTTTTCTACAGGGTATACGTTAAATTTAGGATTCAGAATATAATTTTTGAAAAATTTTGAATTAGTTAAAAAAATTAGAAAACAATTCTTAAGCAGTTTAAATTACTCCGAAATGGAAAAGAAATAACAGTTTTGCTCTTAAGTTTTATTTTATTTACTACTCAATGTTTCCTGCTGTAACATTGAACAACTTAACTTGTCCTTTACGTGCATCAAGGGGCCTTTCAATAACTGAGTCTATTTTTAATCCATTCTACAGTCCTACCCCAAATGTAACATTCTCTTAAAAAGCAAACCTCCACCTCTAGGAGTGTGATATAGTTTTTGAATGGCCCTTTAAATACTAGATTGTGCCATTTTAGATAAAATATTTTAATCGTTTTATTATTTTATTTCTATTGTACGCTTGAATATGAATCCGCTTGAATATGGAAACAGACGAATTGCTGTCTAAAGCAAATTTAAAATCTTGAATATCAAATATACAAATTTTGAGAGTAATATTGTTTTATAGGTAAAGACGCGAGTTTTCATTTTGTAAACTAAGCTTTAAATATAAAACAATACTATTATTAGAAATTTATCAAAAATCTTAGAATACGCAGTGAATGTAAATGAACTAGTTATAGTTTTCTACTCTTCGGAAATTCATTCTTTAGGATTAGTGTTCTGTTATCAAGTTACTATTTCTATTTCAACTACTATGAAAAAATTGAGTATAAAATTTAGTATTGGAAATAGATACTGGATGAGTATTGGACGCAGTAGAGTAAGATTTTAGATTGATAAAAAGGCATTTTTTCGAAATTATCGTGGAAATGTAGTTGCCAAATAGTGAGCTCGCCACTCTGCTGAATTTAGTATTAGATCAGGTACTGGGTTTAGTATTAGATTAAGTAGCGAATTTAGTATTAAATTAAGTCCTGGATGCCAAATATTTTTTTAAGTGCAGTAGGTTTTATAACGGATCGTATTTTTGATGTTGTGTAATATATGAAACTAAACTAGAAGAAAAAAATTCCGGTACCAGCCATAGAAACTTAATGCACTTCAGGTAACTCGGTATTATCCCAAAACTTAATCCAATACCTAATGCAGTACTTATTCCAATACTTTATTTCATAAGAGAAAGTATAGTTGCACTGGGAAAACTAATTTTAAAAAAATCACTTCTTTATTTTCCAATAAAAAATTGTCTGATTCTGATATTTTTGTCCACAATTTTGGATAACTAATTTACTGGGTTGAAATTAGTTGTTCCTCCAGTGCAACAAACTGAGACTTGTTCATTCTCTCGATGTAAAAATATAAAATTTAAAGTTTTCAAACTTTTATCCTATAACTCAAATGATATTAAGGAACATTATATCTCACATTTTATTTTATTTTCTACTCTGAATTTTGACCGAAATCTTTGTTATAAAAATAACTATTCAGGCCGACTGGTAGAAAAATTTTCTCTGAAAGTAGAAAAAAAGCAAATTGTTACATTAAAAAATGTACAAGAAAAAATATAGTCGCTGATGAAGATTTCGGTCCATATTCGAAACGATTGAAAAAATAAAATGAATTGAAGTATAAGAAGAATAATTATCGTTTCTCGTAAAAATATAATTAATAAATTCAGTCCTTAGAAATATTATCAATTATCAATATTAATTATATATAAGAAAACTATAATCAGGTTTTATTGTGTTGACTATTGTGAAATGAATGCTTTTCTATAAAAAATGCTTTTTTACATTTGTTGTATAATTTGTAGACATTTCTAAGGTGATAATTACTTGTTTACTTTTGAAAAGCGAGCGATTTTCTGCTGATATATAGAAATTATTACTACGTAGGGTAGATAATTTACGGGCTATGAATGTGAAGAGAAAAATATTCAATTAAATGTAAAATAAACATAGTTTCTCATGTAGGTAGTTTCTAGTACACACTAAGTATTAAATTAATTTGTATGTATTTAATTCCACTTAAACAAATAGTAAACATCCTGGTAAAACCTGACAAATGTAACATTCCTTGTACATTACGTAACTTATTTAGAAACCCATTTTGTACAATATGTTAAAAATTAATATATGACCCTTCATATAAACTTATGGGTTGTTTAGTCATTTGTCGTTTCCTCTTCATATCTTTTATGTTTAATTAGATTAATATTAAATATTTGTATTTTAACTTGCGATCAGTTGCACTCTCTTTGAAATCGATCAATATTATTGACTGCTAACCATTTTACCATTGATAAAAAAAATTGCCAAAATTTATGGAACATTATTTCATTAATAATTTTCAACAAATTTTGGTAATTCTTTTATCAAGTTATGCAGTTATCAATTGAAGTGAAAATTTTTGCATACTAAGTTGGAATGAATTTTATAAATTTATTTAACCCACTAAGTTATTAACTCGTCAGATTTAATCTATTATAAGCTAGTGCTTATAAACAACTAAACATAGTAGGAAAAATTTCAGTTTTAATAATTTGGACTAGATAGAATTCGATTACTTATATTTTTCTGCAAATTAATTAAAAAATTCTTGTTTTATGTCATAAGAGAGGAAGATGGTTTAATTTCAATTCGTCGCCTTCATTTATGCACATTAATATTTTTAGAGTTGCCACAGGTCAATCAAGTTAGGGAATTTTCTTAAAAGTACTAAAAAAATTAAATTTTTAGAATTTATTTATTTATTTATTCCTCTGAAATTAGTAAAATTTTTTAATATATATTTTAATTAATAATTAAAAATAATGCATTTATAGAAGAATTTTAGTTAAAATACACTAAAAAAATTTATAATCTTGAAATATATTTTTTGTTAATAGAAAAGAAAGTTAAGAAATCTCAATGTGACTATTTGACTTGCTTATGGCAGAGGAGAGGGGAAAATCGATGAGTTACGGCAATGCTCGCGCCAGAACTCAATTCAAATGTTTAATTTCGCAATAGTTGTCATGACTTTCGTACAAATTAAACTGAGCTAACTGTTGCTTAGTATATTAAAATTTTCATTTGTTTTTTAAAAATAAAATTATAAATAATATGCAAAAAATAAAAAAAAATTATTTAAGATATTTATTATTAAACTAATTATAATATTGATTTTCAACTTTGTTAATGATAGACATAAATTTTATTAATTAAAGTTGAGAACAAAAATTATAAATAATTTAATAATAAACTTCTTCAAAAAGAAATTTATATCATATTATTTTTATTTTTATTAGAGATGAGAAACATATTCATACAAAAGAAAATTATTCTTTGTAGTGATGAAAAATTAGAATAGAAGTAAAAAATGTAAAACTGAGAAAATAATGTGTGTTAAACACGGTTGCTCTTTTGTCCTTGGCCCATCTGACGGTTCAACTAATTCAAAGAAACTGTCATATGGCTGGTTCATCCCCGTCTCCCCTATAGGTATAGAAATAATGCATTAATTTCAAATTGCATTGTTTGCAAATCACATGGCCACTTTTCGAAATTTCACCTTCCTTCAACAAAATAATTTATTTCCAAATGTTTGGAAATCAAATAATATTTCATTTTTCTTAACGAAAAAGTTTTTTGGTTTCTTTCACATCACTCTTGCAAAAATTAAAATTTCAATTTTTTAAACTCTTTTTCACTTACTTTCTGGCAGAAAATTTCATTGTATTAAATAAATTCATTATTATTATTATTACAAATTTTATTATTTATTTGCAAAAAAATTTTTTAAAACAATTTGTTATAAACAAATAAACAGTTTGTGACTTTTTTAAAAAACTGTTAACACCATTCGATTCTACGCGAAAAATTACTACAAGAACATGTATGACTCGAGTTATTTTTTAACCGCCTATTGTGCTTTAGGATTGTTTACAACAATTTTTCAACAATAGGTGATTTAAAAAAATTCATCTGCAGAAAGAAAGATTTTAAAAAATTTAATTTAAATTTAGTAAATTTTAAAGTGAAAAATTATTTTTAGGATTCAGGCTAGGATCCCGATATCAATTTTTACTTTCCTTTTTCGTATGGGCATTAATGGGTTAATATATAAAAAAAAAAATAATACAAAATTTGCGCTATTGATGCCAAATGTAATGAAAGAAAAAATAATGAACAAAATTTATGAGTTATCATGTGAAGCGGAAACTGGAACCCATTTCTAAATAAAAATTGGATGAAACATTTTTCAAATGCAGTCCTTTTATATATGAATTTTTGAGAATGTAAAAACGCTGAAATAAAAAGTTGTTACGAAAGT